GTCAATATATATTCAAGTATGAAAGGGGCACCTGGGTGGCTCAGTAGGTTACATGTCTGCCTTCAGCTCAGGTCATAATCTTAGGATCCTGGGATCCTGAGCAGGGAGCCTGCTTCTTCCCCTTCTCACCCAGATCATGAGCGATCTCTCTCTCTCTCTCTCTCTCTCTCTCTCTCTCTCTCTTTCTCTCTTTCTCTCTCAAATAAATAAATAATATCTTTTTTTTTTCTTTTTTTTTTTTAATTTTTTTTATTTATTTATGATAATCACACACACACAGAGAGAGAGAGAGAGAGGCAGAGACACAGGCAGAGGGAGAAGCAGGCTCCATGCACCAGGAGCCCGACGTGGGATTCGATCCCAGGTCTCCAGGATCGCGCCCTGGGCCAAAGGCAGGCGCCAAACCGCTGCGCCACCCAGGGATCCCTAAATAATATCTTTTTTAAAAAGTTTGAAAAACCAAGAGTTTACTCCTTACTGGCATTTGTGAAGAAACTACTAAAGAATATGCATCAGACGTAAAACTTATTCAGAGAAGGAAAGAGGAAATTCAACAAGTGAGCAAATTCATTTGAAAACCATAGCTAAACTAAATGAAGTATTGAGTGTGAAAAAAATAATCACAGTATGAGGTGTCTGGGTGGCCCAGTTGGTTAAGTGTCTGACTCTTTCTTTTGGCTCAGGTCATTATCTCAGGGTCCTGGGATCAGGCTCCACACTCAGTGAGTAGTCTGCTTGAGGATTTTTCTCTCCTTCTCCCTCTGCCCCTTCCTCCATTCTCTCTCTCTCTCTTAAATAAAAATAAATACATCTTAAAAGAAAAAAAATAACAATAGTAATTTTCACAGATGTTTAAAAATTGGAAAATTCTAGATAACAATACTCAGAAAGCTGATGGCAGGGTAGTTCAAATTGAAATAAAAAATTAAAAATATTTTTGTTGCTTTTGGAAAAGAATAGTTAATACTTACCTTAGAACTTGTTGGAAAGGAGTGCCTGAGTGGCTCTATTGGTTAAGAGCCTAACTCTTGATTTTGACTCAGGTCATCATCTCAGGGTTGTGAAACTGAGCTCGAGTCAGGTTCCCCACTCATCAGGGAGTCTGCCTCTCTCCCTCTTCCTCTCCTTCTACCCCTGTATGTGCACTCACTCTCGCTTTCTCTAAAATAAATAAATAAATCTTAAAAAAAGAAAAGAATTTGTTGGAGAAATGTAAAACTAAGATACATGTTGAAAATTTAAGAGTAATTTTTAAAACAAGCCATGAGAATTAAGAAAAAATGTAGTACTCCAACAATAAGAGCAGGAAAAAAAGAAGAAAAAGCAAGTGGGAATAAAAGCTTGGCAAAAAGATGACATAAAATAGGGTACATTCTAAGGAAATTAATAAATTCTTGAAAATTTCTCTGTAGAACACTATCCATCAAAACCTACAGTCATTAATCCAGTACATAAGTGAAAATTCATAGTTTTAAATGCACGTATTATAAAATAGGAAGCAGTCAACTTAAGTTAGAAAAAGAATTTAAAAATTTGGAAGAAGAAAATAAAGGCAAAGTAGAAATTAAAAAAACAATGATCAAAGAATTTTAAGATAGAGCTAAACTGCAGAATCAAAACCTGCTTCTCTTAAAATAGAAATTTTAAAAAAAACTGCTTTAAAAGCCTTCCTAAGGAAAAAAGAGAGTAAACACAAATTAATAATAGGAATGGAAAAGGGGTCATAAGTACAGATAAAAATAGTTTTTTTTTAATTTAAAAAAATACATGAAAATGTTCTGGCAGTTTAAAAATTAGTGACATAAACACATTTTTAGAAAAATTATCAAGTTGGCTTAAGAAGAAATGTAACAGCTAATTCACCTTATACTACCAAAGAAATTTAATTGGTTGGTAAAAATTTCCATCTCTTAAAGGAACTAGACCCAGATAAGTCACAGGAGAGAACTCCCAAAAAACAAAAGCCCAGGACCAGACAGCTTCACAGGCAAATTCTACCAAACATTTAAGGAAGACTTAATGCCTATTCTTCTCAAACTATTCCCAAAAATAGAAAGGGAAGGAAAACATCCAAATTCATTACTATGATCTAGTAATTACACTACTGAATATTCACCCAAAAAATACAAAAGCACTAATTCAAACGGATACATGCACCCCTATGCTTATTGCAGTATTATTTACAATAGCAAAAATACAGAAGCAGACCAAGTGTCCATATATACATGAAATGAAATATTATATATAATGGAATATTATTTATAATGGAATATGATTCAGTTGTAAAAAGAATGAAATCTTGCCATTTGCAATGACATGGATGGATCTAGAGAATACAATGCTAGGCAAAGCAAAATAAGTCAGCCAGAGAAAGACAAATACCATATGACTTCAATTATATGTAGAATTTTAGAAAGAAAACAGACCAGCAAAGGAATAAAAAAGAGAGAGAGAGAGAGAGTAATCAAGAAACAGACGTTTAACTATAAGAACAAACTGATGATTACCAGGTTGGTACCTGGTGTCTCAGAATACAGGCAATCTGAGCAGACCTTACAAGATGCATGGAATATATTTCAGCCATTATGTCTGCCATATTTGAGTGATATAATTCCTAGAGCTGTGGAAAGACAAGCAGGACCACCTAAATTATGACTAACATTAGAGTGTCCTCTGAGTATCAAATGCAGGGATGAATAAGATGCAGTCCTTGTCTCTAAGAAGCACATAGTCAAGTGTTGGAAACAGATTATCATGTAACTAACAGCTAAAAGAGAAACATCTTGTAAATAAAAATGGGCAAAAAAATTTAATAAAACATTTAAAATAATGGGCAATTGCCCTTAATTTATGCCAAACTGACTTTGGCTAACCTGAGAGAATGGGACTTAGAAAAGAAGAAACGGGGGCAAGAGAAAAAAATGGGTCATGGGGGCTGCCAAAGAAGAGCTGGGGAATAGAAGGAAATGGAATCTATAGAGTGATGAGAGATGAAGAAAAGTTAATGTTTTGTCTGATTCATTTTATCTAGACTGAAGGTGGATAAGAAACAGACTAGATAAAATTTTAAGTTTTACACTATATTCTTGAATTCCCAATACCCACCACCCCCTTCTCATCCAGAAGGCATTTTCTAGAGTATGGAGAATCCTATCCTGACAAAGTAGACACCATTCTCAGATTAAAGGCCAGAGGGTTGTCTGCATTGAAAGGACTTAAGAGACATATCACTTAGGACAGACAAGTCACTTCTTGGCCATGTTACAGCTGCACGGAGTAGTCTGGAGTTCTGAAACAAATATGAAAGGGTTTCACAACTCAAAAATAGCAGATGAGCTCATTTTAAAAATACCAAATTCCTTTTATGGAAACTGGTGGAAAATACTTACTAGTGGTATTTTTGATTGACATTCTAAACCCATACAAACATTAGTAATCTAGATAACTAGAATAGTAAAATAAAATAATCTAGAATCAATCATCTAGAATGAAGAAACTAGATAAAATCAAATCCCGAGGCACATATTTTTCTATAGAGTATAGTACTTCACAGTGGCTGATTTATGAGCAATTGTAGAAATTTAGTGGTTGTATTTTGAGATTAAAAAAAATGCTGATGCTGTGCTAAAGATGGGCACTAAGAGGTCCTGTGTTTGGTTTTGAACATTACAGAGTATTTGTGATCACCCTCCCTCTAACATTTCATCCTAAAATCTTTAGGAGGCCAGCTGAGCCCTTCTCTTCATAAGGTAGATACAGTTTGGCAAATGGAATTCCCAAATCAGTTCCTCCATTTAAATGTGCTACAGATGCCACTAGATTTATAGCACACCAACAATCAACGCAGCATGTAACTAGAACTTGCAACATGCAGATAAAGGAGAAAAGGAATCCTCAGGCCCACTGACCATAACTTTTAAAATAGAAAACGGGTGCCACCTTGTGGTTATTAAGGCCACTCTTAAACAATGACTTTCTGGAAAGCCAACTTAACGAAATCACCTATTTGTTTCTCCTCTAAAATGCTGTTGAAGATACCTCCCTTATACTCTTGGACTTGATACTCTTGCAGTCTGGAGATTTTATTAACATTCTCTATCTACCCACATAAAAACACAATCACTATTCATGTTAAGTAACTGCCAACCATGGCAAACATGGCAAACAATTTTCATAACTCTAGGAACCTCTCTCCACCTGCCTTTCAGTTACCTGCATGTTAAAAGGTAGGCGAGGATTTCCATTAAAATGGTGACATGAACCCAGGTGTCCCTCCATCCTGGGAGCTGTGGAACAGACCAAAGATAAACTTATCCTCACTTTTCATTCTACACACTTACTTCTGACTTTCTACAAGGAGAATGTATCTGTTACGTTTGTAGTTAATAAAATATAATAAAGTGTACCAGGTTCACCTTACCCAAGAAGTGCGTTACTGGATGGTCTCCGGAAAGATTAGCATGTGTGTGTCGGGGGCGGGGGGTGGGGTGACAAGTCGAATTCCCCCAATAAAATATGTAAGTATTGTAGAACGGGTACACATCTCACGCAGCATTAAAAAGTGTTTCTGGGGATCCCTGGGTGGCTCAGCGGTTCAGCTCCCGCCTTTGTCCCAGGGCGTGATCCTGGAGTCCCGGGATCGAGTCCCGCATCAGGCTCCCGGCATGGAGCCTGCCTCTCCCTCTGCCTGTGTCTCTGCCTCTCTCTCTCTCTCTCTCTCTCTCTCTCTCTCATGAATAAATACATAAAATCTTAAAAAAAAAAAAAAGAAGTGTTTCTGTTTGAAATTAAACTTCGGAGAGGAAAGGCATGCCACAGACAAGTTGGGCTGCTTGGGCTGTGTGTCAAAAACGCCCGCTCCCCAGCGGACCCCTGGCCTCGCGCAGCCGCAGCCTTGGAATTCTCCAGCCAACGGTCGGGTGGAGGAGTTGGGCGCTCCAGCCGGTGGCTGCCTCCCGACCTGCTGCCCAGTTTGAACACCTTGCCTTTCCCTCCCGGAAATGAGCCTCAGTCTCTCCAAGGTTGCGCCCGACGCCTGGCGGGAGATGGAGGTGAAGGGGGATCCCGAGGCCAGGGCACAGAAGCCGGAGCCGCAGCCTGAGGCCAGGCGGGAAGCCGAGGCCCATCCCGGGCCGACACTGGGACGCCGCAGGACGTGGGTGTGGGGTCCCAGGTAGAGCCGCTCCCCGCCTCCAAGCCAACTCAGGGACAGGAACCCAAGCTTGACTGGGCTTCGGGACAGCGCACAGGGCCCCTGGAGGCGTCTCCTCCGCAGTCGGGAACAGTGTGGAGCGTCCAAGTCTGCCGGCCTCCCCGTCGGAAAGGCAGCTGTCAGCGAGCCCCCCTGCCACACCGACTGCCTGGAGGCGCCCCTCAACCTGCCTGGGGAAGGCTGGGGAGGGAGGTGGGCTCGCACCCCTGGGTCTTCCTGCTGGTGCCCATGCTGCTGACGGCCACTCTGGGCACAGGCTTGCGTTCCTTGCCCAGCAATACTGAAGAAAACCTCGAGGAGCAGTACACCCCCATGGGGAGCCCGGCCAAGGCTGAGTGGCGCTTTGTGCAGGGGCATTTCACCACCAACGACTCTTACGGATTCTCCAACTCCAGGAAGAGCACCGGGGTCAATTTTGTCTCCACCCTAGTGGTTTCCAGCACTGCCTCGCTGCTGCAACAAGAAATCTTAGAAGAAATTAGTACATTGGACACCGTGGTGCAGTATCTTTATGTGGCCAAGGAAAACGGGACCCAGATTGGCTACGATGGGGTGTGCGCTAAATACCAGGGCGCCTGCGTGCCCTCCAACGCCCTCCTGTCCGCCTGGCGCATGAACAAGGACCTCGACCTGACAAACATCACTTTTCCGGTCTTCAACCTATCGGGTCAGCTCAACTACCTGGTGGGCACCATTGGAGGAACCTTTTTAGGCAAGAGGACGGGAAGGAACCAATTACTCGTGAAAGCCATGCGGCTACTGTACTACCTGAAAACTGAGGATGTGAAGGACAATGAGCTTAGCCATATGTGGTTGATCCATTTCCTGAACCAATCTACCAACATTGAAAAGAGTTTGGCCTCAAAGAAGATCCAGGTACCTGGTGGCTGGGTTTTATAGGGAGGCCAGGGAAACGTGGGAGGGATAATAACACTTTTTCTGAGGACCTTAGCAGGGGCACTCCCTGATAATTCGGTGGAGCCCTTGACCTGAAGCAGGGAGTGCTCTATTCCATTCAGTACTTAATCCAATTTCCTTAATCTCACACAACAAAGGATGCCACAAATCTTAACTCCTTAGTAATAATCTGGTGGAAAACACAAATCCCACATCCTCAAGGCCGGTGTGTTCAGTACAGGCATCGACTATCAGGTTTTCTAGTCAAATTATGTTGAAATTGCTACTCTTTGTTAAAGTCTTTGCTGTTTGGGGGAGCCCCTTAAAACTAGTTTGAAGTTCACTAAGATGCAAAAACATAGACACCTGAGTGGCTCAGTGGTTGAACATCTGCCTTTGGCTCAGATCATGATCCCAGGGTCCCTGGATGGAGTCCACACCAGGCTCCCCGCAGGAAGCCCGCTTCTCCCTCTGCCTATGTCTCTGCCTCTCTCCCTGTCTCTCTAAATAAATAAAATATTTTTTAAAAAAAATGCAGAAACTAACCTTTAAGCAGAAGCTCCATGGTGTCTTTGAAAAGATAACTAGCTCAGCATTTTCTAAGTAAGTTATAGCATAGTACCAGGTACACGCTAGCTACTCTGTAATTGTTGGGCCAGCAAGCCTACTAATACTTGTGAGTAAGCCTGATCAAAGTGAGACAACTACTAGAAAAAAAGCCCTTAAACACCAGATCTTTCTGAAATATCAATGCAATTTAAAAAGCCTTCAAATACCAGATCTTTCTGAAATATCAATGCAATTAAATAGACAACAGCCTAATAAAAACTTAGAAAAAGTGACAATTTCTGTAGTTATTAATGATTCATAGTCTTATATAGAACTCAGATTTTGAGTTCGGAGGAACTGAGAACTCAGGAGTTTTCAACTTTGGGTTTTTGCAAGAAACTGGAAAGCAGGCCAGATTTGTGGGAAGAAGCAAATCCATATTGTCTTTATTCTAAAGTCATAATTCACTTTCTTTGATCTTTTGCTAAATTTTAACATTTCAATCAATAAGCGATAGCATTTCAATAGTGTTTGTAACTCACACACACATATTGGAATTAAAAGTTATTTATTGGAGTATATTTTTTGGCAGATGGTCTACTTTACATCACTTTCTAGACAACTGGAGTTTGAAGCAACCTCTATGACAGTGATCCCCTTGTTTCATGCGGCATACCTTCTAATCATATGCTTTGCAATCACATCATGCTACAGGTAAACAGTTTTATTATTGGTTTTTAACTCTTTTTAAAAAATCTTTGTGTGTGGGAAAATACATAAAAAAGATATAGAATATGCCATTTCAATCATTTTAAGTGTACAATTCGGTGGTATCAATTACATTCACGCTGTTGTGCAGCCATCACAACTATCTGTTTCTAAGTATTTTCCATCACCCCAAACAGAATTTGTATAAGCATTAGGCAGTAACCCTCCAAGGCATCTGCCTCCCAGTCCCAGTTAACCTTTCTCTACCTTTTATCCCTATGAATTTGCCTATTCTAGAGATTTCTATAAATGGAATCATACAATATTTGTTCTTTAGTGACTGGCTTATTTCACTTAGCCTAACGTTTTCAAGGTTCAACTATGATGTAGCATGTATAAAAACATTCCTTTTTATGTTTTTATGACTAATAATTCATCATATATATATGTATATACACATATATATACATACAGCACTGTTTATCCACTTATCTGTTGATGGGCACTTGGAATGTTTCCTCCTTTTGGCTATTGTGAATAATGTTGTAATGAATACTGGTGTACAAATATTTGTTTGAGCTCCTATTTTCAATTATTTTTAATATATACATAGGAGTTGAATTGGTGAGTTATATGATAATTCTGTTTTTAGTTCTTTGAAGAACCGCCACACTGCTTTCCATGAAGACTACCTCATTTTATATCTTACCAAGCAATGTATAAGGGTTCCAGTTTCTCCACATCCTCACCAACACTTGTTACTTTTTGTTTTATTGATTAAAGCCATCTTAGAAATGGCAAAGTAGTGGCAAAGTACTCAACTAATAATGTTGAGGGTCTTCCTGTGCTTATTGGCCATTTGCCCATCTTCTTTGGAGAGAAGTCTATGTAAGTCCTTTGCCCATTTTTAATTGGGTTGTCTTTTTGTTGTTGAGTCCTGTTATTGATGAGTAGTTTGTGTGTTTTGGATATTAAACCCTTATCAAATATATGATTTGTAGGGGTGCCTGGGTGGATCAGTTGGTTGAATGTCCAGCACTTAGTTTCAGCTCAGGTCACGGTCATTCTCAGGGTCGTAGATCAAGCACCAAATTGGGCTCAGTGCTAGGCATGGCACTTGCTTAAGATTCTCTCCCTCTCTCTCTCTCCCTGCCCCCCCCCCATGCTCTCTCTTCTCTCTCTCTCTCTCTCTCTCAAATAGAGAAATAAACCTTTTTTTTTTTAAAAAAAAGTCTTTCACCTCTTTGGTTTATTAAATTTATTTCTAAGTATTTTATTCTTTTAGACACTATTTAAGTGGAATTGCTTTCTTTCATTTTTAATTGTTTATTGCACATAGATAGAAACACAACTGATTTTTCTGTGTTGATCTTGAGCAGCTTTGCTCAATTTGTTTATTAACTCTATTAGTTTTATTGTGGATTCTTTGGAACATTCATGGATAGAATCATGTAATCTGTAAAAAGGAATTGAATTCCTTTTATTTCTATTTCTTATCTAATTTATCTGGCTAGCACTTCTACTTCAGTGTTGAATGCCATTGGTGAAGGTAGGCATCTTTATCTTGTTCCCAATTTTAGAGGGAAATCTTTGTCTTTCACTATTGAGTATAACATTAGCCATGCAGTTTTCATAAATGCCCCTATCATTTTGAGGAAGTTACCTTCTATTCCTTGTTTTTTTAGTGTTTTTATCATATGGGTATTGGATCTTGTCAAATGCCTTTTCTGCATCTATGGAGATGATCGTGTGGTTTTTAAACTTTTGTTCTATTAGGGTGCTATATTACATTGATTTTCCCATGTTGACTCATTCTTGCATTCCTGTAATAAATCCCACTTGTTCATGATCCCTTCGATGTGCTATTGAATTGGCTTTGCTAGAATTTTATTAAGGATATTTGCATCCATATTCAAAAGAGATATTGATTTGCAGTTTTCTTTTAGTGTTTGTCTGGAATTGGTATTACTGTAATGCTGGCCTCATAGAATGAGTTAGGAAGTATTCCTTCCTTTTCAATTTTTTGGAAGGATTGGTGATAATTCTCCTTTTGTGTTTAGTAAAATTTACCAGTGAAGCCATCTGGTCTTGGACTTTTCTTTGTTGGGAGGTTTCTGATTACTGATTCAATCTTTTCACTTGTTACATGTCAAGATTTTCTGTTTTATCTTGAGTCAGTTCAGGTCATTTGTATGTTTCTAGAAATTTGTGCATTTCATCTAGGTTATCTAATTTGTTGGTGTAAGTTGTCTATAGTATTTTTTATAATCCTTTCAAGTTCTCTAAGGTCAGTAGTAATGTCTTCACTTTCATATCCGATTTAGTTATTTGTATCTTCTTTTTTCTTTGTCACTCTAGATGAAGGTTTGTCAATTTGCTGATTTTTTAAAATAACCAACTTTTAGTTTTACTGGTTCTCCATTGTTTTTTATTCTCAATTTTATTTTTCTCTATTCTGATCTTTTCATTTCTTTCCTTCTGTTAGCTTTGGGTTTTGTTTTGTTTTGCTTCTATTTCTACAAGATGTCTAGTAGCATAAGGTGATTTAAGAACTTTTTTCTTTTTTAATGTATGAATTTATCTGTGAGCACTGGTGTTGCTACATCCCGTAAGTTAGGGTATGCTGTGTATTTGTTTTCATCTGTAGCTAAGTATTTTCTAATTCCCTATGTGATTTATTCTTTGGCCCATTAGTTATTTAATAGTGAGTTGTTTAATTTCCACATATTTTGAATTATCCAGTTTTCCCTCTATTATTAATTTGAAGCTTCATTCCATTGTTGGTTGAAAAGATACTTGTAATTTCAATATTTTTACATTTTCAGACTTGTTTTGTGACCTAACACATGATCTATTCAACAGAATGTTTCATGTGCACTTGAGAATATTGTATATTCTGCTATTGTTGGGTTGAGTGTTCTATATAACTCTGCAAGGTCTAACCGATTTATAGTGTTGTCCATTTCTTTTCTTTCTTTATAGATTATCTGCCTAAATATTTTATCCATTATTGAAAGTGGTATATTGAATTCTCCAGCCAATATTGTAGAGCTATCTATTTCTCTCTACAAGTGTGTCAATATTTGCTTCATGTATTTTGGGTCTCTATTGGCAGTGCATGTGTGTTTGCGGTTTTTATATATTCTTGATGAATTAGTCTTCTTATCAATATATAATATCCTTACTTGTCTCTTTTTTAATTTTAATTTTAATTTTTATTTTTTTATTTATGATAGTTACACACACACAGAGAGAGAGAGAGAGAGAGAGAGAGAGAGAGAGGCAGAGACACAGGCAGAGGGAGAAGCAGGCTCCATGCACCGGGAGCCGGATGTGGGATTCGATCCCGGGTCTCCAGGATCGCGCCCTGGGCCAAAGGCAGGTGCCAAACCGCTGAGCCACCCAGGGATCCCTGAATTTTAAGTTTTATTTAATTTTAATTCGTTTAAATAGAAGTGCCCTCATGTGCTCATCACTACCATTTCCCACAACACAGCCTCATTTTATGTACCATCTAAATTCCAATCCATTTCTTCTCTCTAGAGAGAAGACTCCAAGACCCATGGAGGCCAGTGGCAGCCAGTAAGCTGTATTTCTATCCCTGTGGATTTTCACCTCTGCCTCTAGATCCAGAATTAGAACTTATCAGGAAAAGCCATGGCTTCTGCCCCAATCACCAAGAGGATGAAGGGGGAAGCCACATGTGCTGTCTGCCTGCAACTAATGTCTGAGCCTATGAGCATCAGCTGTGGACATAGCTACTGCACACTGTGCATCATCAGCTTCCTTGAGAACCTAGGCCATGCAGAACCATCGCCAAATATGTTCCCCTGTCCCCACTGCCCGGCTTCATTTCAGTTGTCCAGCCTCTGGCCAGTAAGTAACTGGGAAGTCTCATTGAAGCCATCAAGGAGATGGAACATGAAATGTCATGTGAGGAACACGGAGAGCACCTCCATCTCTTCTGTGAAGACGAGAGCCAGCTCATATGCTGGCGCTGTGAGCGGTCACCGCGGCACAAGGAGGACCACACAGCTCTCATCGAAGACGTATCCCAAGACTACAAGGTGAGTGAATGGGTTGGAGGGCTTTGGCAAGTACTGCTCCAAGTATCAAAGAGTAAAGTTCAGATTATACCTATAAAAAGGAGGAAAGGGACAGTTTCAGGCAAGATGGAAGCTTGGGGAGCTAAAGGATTTGGAAATGATTTTTCATGGAAGATGAAATGGAGGGAGAGGTTTGGAGCAACTCCTGTTTCTCACTCAGAAGCAGTAAAGGAAGGCTGGCCTTTGCTATAGGGAATGAAGAAAGGGCACAGTCCTGCTACCTTATTCTCCCTCTGACCTGCCTATATTTGAGGAAAATGTTCCTAGTGTGGGGCTCCTTGTTCCCTCCCCTATGAGATGGAGGTGGGCTTGTAGTAAGGTTCTGAGTTCCCTGGGTAGTCATGGCAATACTGTCTTTGACAAGTTTCAGAGGGCCCTTTCTTGAGAGGACTCAAGAATAGATGAGTATATTTATTGGGTTTACAGAAGACAGGATTTGATTCTTTTAGTATTGAACACAATCAGCAATTCGGGTCATTTTAAAATTGCTTTCCATGGAAATGTGAGAAACTATTTTGAAAAATAACCCAAAAGCTTGATATACATACAAAATCATTTTAGATTGGCTTCATGAATTAGCACTCTTCAAAGATATCAGAACCTCCCTCCTCCATTAAGTATTTCCAGTTACTTTCGCTGACATCTTGGGCTTTCCTTCCCTACTCACCATAACACAAAGTTCTGTGTGTATTAGACACTCTGGCATTGGTTGTTTGGCTCAACATATTATTTTATAAAATCTTCTTTTAGAAGATGATTAGCTTGTTGCGCGTGAAGTGTTTCCCTGGGAAGACTGTAGTGGTGGATGTAGCTCAGGCTTTGAGTTCGCAGACAAGGTTGGAATCACAGCTCAGCCATTGACCAGTTATAGCATCTTGGGCAAATTATTTAACCCCTTCCTAAGCCTCAGTGTCTACTGCACAGAAATGATGTTAAAATCCTACCAATTACTCAGTGCTGCCAAGAGAATCAAATATTTGATTACACATATAGTCCTCAGTGTGCTTCCTAGACTATTGTAACAACTCAATGTATATTCAGTGTTATTCTGATAGTCTGGAGGGCTGGGGTTCCCTTTATGTGCTTAATGAAGAGTTATCAAATTGACTTGACTTTATTCACTGAATTTTTCCTTCAGGAAAAGCTTCAGAATGCTGTGACAAATTTGAAGCAACTAGAAGAGGAATGTATGAAACAGAAGGTGTTCACAACAAAGCAAATAAGTGAATGGAATGTAAGAATTTGGATTTATTGATCTCAAGCCATTTTCTATCCTGGAGTGTAAAAATAGGACAGGATTGACAGAACACAATGATAATTTATTTTCATTAAACCAGACCACAGGGAACCAGATGAAACCCAAAAAAGGAACTCTCATTTGTTTTTATGTCCCTCATTATCTACATCTGTAAGAATTTATGTCTAATATCTTCAACTTCTCAGTTGTAATTGACTGGGATTCTTGATACCTTAGGAGAAGCAGAATTGGGATATCTATTTAAGTTAGAGCCATCCTTGACTAGGTCTCATATTTTAAATACCTCAAAGTTCCTTCCTGGTTTGAAGGACTCAACTTTAATACTTTACCACACTTAGCACACAGAGCACAGGCTGTGGCTCCCAGCCTCACAGGTTCACAAATTAATCTTTGTGAACATTAAGGAAACAGAAAAACTCCAAGTTGAGATTCATATTACTCAGCTGGTGAGGCTGATAAAAGGAGTCTATTTGATTTATAAGAGGGGTCATAACTGTTGCAAGAACTTGTACATACAAACTGCAGACTAGGAGTCTTTAAAATGATTTCCATGGCTGACCAGCTCCCCATGATCAGAGGGGCATTCCTTAATGGAAATATTTATGTAATCCATCAATTTGTAGCCAAATGCCTTAGGCTTGTGAGCCATTTAGCCTCTCTCAGGGGTCTCTTCCATCCTCTGCCCTGTGGTTGCTAAACTCTGAGGATGCTCTCACTTCCCTTTCTGGCTCTTGGACAGTGGAGAGGATCTTGATTTTAACTAATATATACAGAAACCGCATCCATGAGTCTTCTAGAACATCATCTCAGTCATCAAAACACTGTCTGAATTGGGGAAGCACTGGCAGAAATTGCAATTCTGTATCTCCCAAAATGAAAGCCAAGTCCCAAGAGATGTATCACTTGGCCTCTGTAAGTCTTACACATAAAGATAATTACTTAGACCCTGGGCTGGTGGTGACTATTTCTCAGTTAACTATGATAAAAGCCTGCCACTCAGACCTCCCCCTGCTGAGACCATGGATTTCCCTACTAGCCTGGTTGTCTTAGACTCCAGTCACAGTGATGTTTATTACAAGCTTTCACTTCAAGAAATTTCCTCAGGCTCAGAAATACCTCCTTACATCCCAAATAAAAAAGTGTTTGACCTCAGCCCTAATTCCATGATTAAATTATCTGGCACCACTGACCCTCCTTCCTCTTGTACCTTAGTTGAAGAAGAAGGAAATCAATCAGGCAACTGTAGAGAATCATGACAACTCTCCGACATCTGAGTGCCTACTTCTTAGGCATGACTCTGTTGTTATTTGTGACATTCTTCCAGCTCCAATGACTAAGTAGCTGAGAAAACTTTCTTCTCTGTATGTGTATGCTAACATGCACATAACATAAAATTTACCATCTTAATCATTTGTAAGGGTACACAGCTCATTGGCATTAAGTATTGTTTTGTTGTACAATCATCACTGCCATCTATTAGTGAGAACTAATAGTGGAAACTAATGTCCAGAACTTTTTCATCACCCCAAACTGAAACTGCCCATTAAACACTAACTCCCCATTTCTTTCTCCTCTCAACCTCCAGTAACCACTATTCCACTTTCTGTATCTGTGAATTTAACTAGCATAGGTACCTCATATTAGTGGAATCATATGATATTTGTCTGTCGCGGCCGGCGTGAGGATGTCCGGATTCAGGAACCGAGGGCAAGGGGATGAGAAAGAAACAAGAGACTAAAAGTTCATGGGATAGGAGGTTCCATGCGGCTGATGGCCGCAATGGACAAGCTTTATTTTTACATGTATAGTTTATATAGCCTCTATAAGAAGATGACCTATTTCTCTAAGGAGAAATACATATCGTGGACGAACATACATTGTCTTTAAAACTAACAATAGCTAGAACACCGCAAATTCCTGTCACTTGTTCTTAAGCAGTAGAGCATGAATGCCACATTTAGAATAAACAATGAGGTTTGTTCATTAAGTAATGACTACCAAGGCAGTCATATGTCAAGCCACTTCCTTGCTCACTTTATGGGAACTTGTCCCAATAGTATTTTAAAGGAGAAGCAAATATGTACTTTTACTTCGATAAGGGGGAAGAGCTAGGTGCAGTCCCAGCGGGTTGGCCAGGCATGACAAGGAGCCTTTGCTCAACCCGGAACCCTGCCTCGCACCGCAGGACTGCGGGTTGGCCAGGGACAACAGGGAGCTTTAGCTCAACTTGGAACCCTGCCTCGCACCGCAGGACTGCGGGTTGGCTAGGGACAACAAGGAGCTTTGGCTCAACTTGGAACCTTGCCTCACACCGCGGGACGGCTCCCGACATTTGTCCTTTTGTTTCTGGCTTATTTCACTTAGTATAATGTCTTCAAGATTCATCCATATCATAGCATACATCAGAATTTCATTCCCTTTTAAGTCTTAGCAGTATTCCATTATCAAAGTACCACATTTTATCAATTCATTCATTGGTGGACATTTGGCGTGTTTCTATCGTCTGAGCATACTGTCTTGACTCTAGGAGAAGATAGAGATTCAGAAACAAAAAATTCAGTCTGACTTTAAGAATCTTCAGAGCTTCCTGCTAGAAGAGGAGAAGTCTTATCTCTGGAGACTGGAGAAAGAGAGAGAGCAGACTCTAAGGAGACTGAGATAATGAGGCCACTCTGGAACAGAAGAATCAAGAGCTCAAGAGTCACATCCTGGAACTAGAGGAGAAATGTCAGGGGTCAGCCCAGAAGTTGCTACAGGTGGGGTTGTGTACTTGGGGGAAGGAACTCTTGAACTGTTAAGAGAAGAAGGGTGAGGGAATATGGGCTGATTCATGAGGCCTGCCTGCCTCACTTAAAAGTGGCACACTGGTATGGGGAATTTAAAGAAATGTTTATTTTATGTATACCTCAGTATCTATAGAGTAGCCTTTACTTGTCTGTAGCGAATCAGAAAAATCTATGTGAATCAGAAAAATATAGCCCTTCTGGATGGATGTGGTGGGGTCCTTGACTAAATGGAATCATAGGGTAACTTTTGCTACCATTAGTCTCTGTTCCATGTGCACAGAACCCTGACTGTCAAACTGCCTCCTGAAATATTCCGCCAGGTGACTGGTGGGTGATAAAGTGGGGCAGCCAACATGAGTGACAGTCTTTTCCCTGATTTGCTTGTAGAGCCCTCCACAGCTCTTAAGGGGCCTTCTTTCTGCTATATGAAAGATCCAGCCCATTAAGATAACTGTGCCCGGAGCTATTAATTCTAGTTCCCACTGATAGATCTTGAGGTTATACTGTAAGCATGAGACCATAGCATGAGTGTTGCACCACCACATGATATCCGCTCCCATCATCTTAGTGGCACATTCTCAGAGGCTATGTATATATTCACCACTAAGGACAGACAGTTAATGATAAGTGGTCTTTAATATGGGCTCACTCTGAAAGAAATTAGGTCACTGGAAGCAAGTCTTAGCAAAGGAAGCATGGGGAAACCTCCTAGGCCTCTTCCCTAAGCCTCCCACAGGCTGTGATTGTAGACACCACAGGTTCCCACAGATCTCAGCAAGAAAGATAACAGACTCAGAGGTTGATAAACATCCTGCGATTCTGAATACCCAGGGAGCTGGGATGGGAATCATTCTATCTGAGTATTCATCAATAGCTAAAGCTGGAGTCACTCTATTTACTTTTTTGGAAAGAACATTTATAGAGACCAGCTGCATGTGCAAAGCCTCATGAAATACTGATGTTTCCACATTCACTTTTTGTCTTTGTTTCTCTGTAGGATGTGAAAGACACTTTGCGCAGGTAAGTCCTATATGAATGCATGAGGGAAGAGGTATGGGTATATAGAGTTGAGTGTATCACTGAAGAAGTCCTTGGCCTTTGCTTATTCTAGGAGTTGGGCTGTGACGCTGGAAATACCAGAGGCCCACTCTTTGGAACCTCATACTGTGTGCAGTGTTTCTGAGCTATATTTTGATGTGAAGAAAATGTTACAGAGCTATCAAGGTATGTGAAGAATCCCTAAATGCTAAGGATGGAAGGGACCTTATGTTGTGATCACATTCACCACCTGTCCCTGGGCAGGCTCACAGCAGAGAGGTTGTTTAGTGATTTTTAGTGTAACTGTCTTACTCTCCCTTGTTAGCATACTCCAGTGCTTAGATAAGGACATAGCATACTGGTTATCTGTGCAGACCCTTCACATTCCTGATCTCCCATATAATAACTGTGTCACCCAGGCAAATAACTTCCTTAGTTTCCCCAGCTGAAAAAATGAAGATATGAACTATTCCCACTTCATTGTGTTGTCATGGAAAGTAAATATGTCAACAAGTACAAAGTGCTTAGTGCAGTGACTGGGACATAGTGTTTGTGGTTAATATTTTAATCAATTTTCAGAGCAAGGTAAGAAAGATAAGTGAATATTATGGACTTTGGTTCAAAAGGTTTTAGGCTCTTGACCCAGACAACACAGATGGTAAATATTAGAACCATGATGAAAACCAAATTTTACCAATTCCAAATTGGTAATTCCAATTCCAATTTCAATTGGTAAATTTTGCTCCATTGATTCTCCTAATCAGTGCTTACTATATTTCCACAATCTCTTATTTATAATTACAACATTTTAAAAGCTCTGAAAACTCAAAGTTTTTAAAAACTTGTTTGGCTACAAAATCAGACCTAACCTAAAATGATCTGGTGACTCAATTATTATCTCTTCCAGTAAACAAATTTAGCAGCTTAAAACAACACATACATAGTATCTCACAAGTTCTGTGGGTCAGAAATCTGGGTACAGCTTAGTTGGTCCTTTGCTTAGGGCCTCACAAAGCTGCATATGAAGGGGTTGGGCAGGCTGGGTTCTCATCTGGAGACTAGATTGGGGAAGAATTCTCTTGTAAGCTCACTCAGGTTGTTGGCATAATTCATTTCTTTAGCACATGGGCCTCTCAACATGGCCAATTACTTCTTCAAAGTGAGCTCAGAAGAGTCTCTAGTGCATGTCTCTTAGTAAGATGGAGTCACATATAATGAAATACAATCATAGGAGTCACATCCCATTTGCCATATTCTGTTATTCAGAGGCAATTCACAGGGCCTGCTCACACCCTATGGGAAGGAATTGTATAAGAGCAGGAACATCAGAAGGCAGGGACTCTGAAAGTCTATCATTGTGTCTGTCTTCCACAGTGGCCAAAACTGAGCTGTAGTGATATGAGACTGTTTGAAGTCTTTATTTATCCCACTTAGTTTGAATATATATTTTATTGCAGAAATATTGATGCATTTGATCACAAGGTACTGCTTAAGACCTGGTAGAGGTAGGCACATAATTTAGAATATACATATATACTTCATAACATCAAAAGTATTCTGAATTCCTATGCACTTAACATGGGAGCACCCAAATACAGAAGCAGTTAAAAACAAACCTAAAGAAAATAATCAATAGTAACATAATAATAGTTGGGGACTTGGAACACCTGAGTGGCTCACTGGTTGAGCATCTGACTTTAGCTCAGGTCATGATCCTGGGGTCCTGGGATCAAGTGCCACATCAGGCTCCTGGCGGAAGCCAGATTGTCCCTTTGCCTATGTCTCTGCCTCTCTCAGGAATAAATAAATAAAATCTTAAAAAAAAATAACAGTAAGGAACTTTAACACCCCACTACGTCAAATGGATAGATCATCCAAATAAAATCATCAGGGTAATAGTGGCTTTGAATGACACATAGGACCAGATGGATCTAACAGATAAATTCAGAACATTCCATCCTAAAACAGCAGAATATATTTTCTTTTCAAGGTACACATAGAACATTCTCCAGAATAGATCACATATCAAGATACAAAACAAATCTTAAGAAGTTAAAAAAAAATCAAAATCCTACCATACATTTTTTTGACTACAAAAAGGAAGGAAAGTTTCCAAATTCATTCTATGAGGCCAGCATTACCCTGATACCAAAACCAGAGTAAAGAAAAAGGAACTATAGGCCAATATTTCTGATGAACATAGACTGAAAATCCTCAAAAAAATCTAGCAAACCAAATCTAATAATACATTTAAAAAAATCATTCTCATGATCAAGTGGGATTTATTCCTGGGATGCAAGCATGGTTCAATATTGGCAAATCAATAGTGTGATATACCACAAGTGAAAGGATCAAAACCAAATGATCTTTTCAATAGATGTAGAAAAAGCATTTGACAAATTACAACATCAATTCATGATAAAAACCCTCCACAAAGTAGGTTAGATGGAACATACCTCAACATAATAGAGGCCCTATATGGAAACCCACTACTAACATACTCCCCAGTGGTGAAAAACAGAACTTTACCCTTAAAGTAAGGAACATGACAAGAATGTTCACTCTCACCACTGTTATTCAACATAGTACTGGAAGTCCTAGCTACAGTAATCAAACAAGAGAAGTAAAAGGCATACAAATTGATAAGGAAGAAGTAAGATTTTCACTATTTGTAGATGACATGATATCTTATATAGAAAACCCTAAAGACACCACCAAAAAACTACTAGAACTAAATTTAGTAAAGGTGTAAGATACAAAAACAATATGCAGAAATCTGTTGCATTTCTATACACTAATAATGCAATAGCAGAAAGAGAAAATAAGGAAACAATCCTATTTATAATTGCATCAAAAATTAAGATACCTAGGAATAAACTTAACCAAGGAGGTGACAAACCTGTACTCTGAAAACTATAAAACATCGGTGGAAGAATTTGAAGACAACACTAATAAATGGTAAGATATTCCAGGTTCATGAATTGGGAGACCAAATATTGTCAAAATGTCTATACTACCCAAAGCAGTCTACAGATTTAATGCAATCCTTATCAAAATATCAGCTGCATTTATTACACAGTAGAACAACATTGCTAAAAAATTCTGAATCCAAAAACCATTTGGCCGCAGGGAATTGAGATAAGGATTATGGGCCTGTATTTGTTTTTCCCTCAAGTTAAAAACAACAAACAACAAGAACAACTATAAAGCAAAGCAACTCTGGTATTTGATCCTATAAAGATTCAGGAAAAGAAAAAATAGGACTCTGTACAAATCACACTCAGATGTCACTAAGCTGATTTGTCTTCTCTTGGCTTTTACAGAAGGATTACAACATTGTGCAAGTCAATCTCTTTCTTAAATTGTCTCATCTTTTAACTAGATAATTCCCTTTCTTTTTTAGAGCCCTTATTATTAAAACTTTTCTTATTTCAAAAGTAACACAAATATATTGTAATCGAACAACATAGATAAGTATGAAGAAAAATTCAAGGTTTCTCCTACCCCTCTCCAATCTTACTTTTCTGGGTAACAAGATCTATGTTTTTCTCCGTGTTTGTTTTTTGTTTTGTTTACAAACATTTGCTATATAGAATGTCACTCGTTGCTTTTTTAAAGCAAACATTAATAAGTATATCATAATTATTTGTAACCATATCCCTACCATTGGAGCTTCAGGCTGCTTCCAGCACTCGTGTATTACAACTTTGCTGTAATAACTGCCTGGGCCATGCAACCTTACATCCTTGTGTTTTCATACTTGTGGGCATATACCTAGCATTGGGGTTCCTGGGATTTTTGTTAATCTTAATGCATATTACTTGTTCCAGTGTAGCAACATACGGTCTCAGCAGCACCAAGAAATATACCAAGCACTCTTTCCATGGCAGATGAGAAAAGCTTCGCATGTGTTAACCTGTTTTATACAACAGTCCTTTCTGTAGGAAGCATTTTTCACTTTATAGATGTGGAAACGAAGACACAGATAAGCAATGATTGGTAACTTAAGTAGTATCTCTCTGAACTCACTCTCTTAATCACTTTGCACTGTGGCAAAAAAAAAAAGGAATATGTTTTTTTTAAATTTTTTTTAAATTTTTATTTATTTATGATAGTCAGAGAGAGAGAGAGAGAGAGAGAGAGAGGCAGAGACACAGGCAGAGGGAGAAGCAGGCTCCATGCAGGGAGCCCGATGTGGGATTCGATCCTGGGTCTCCAGGATCACGCCCTGGACAAAAGGCAGGCACCAAACCGCTGCGCCACCCAGGGATCCCCAATATGTTGTTTTTTAATCCACTGTTGTGGAGGGGACTTTGAAGTTTATGTATAATTGGTTTTGTTTGTTGCTGGTGTACACCTACTATTGTGGACATTATTACTGATGTGTCCTTGTGTTCTGTGAATGGTTTCCTCTGAGCATATGCCTTGAATTGAAAATGCTGCTGTGTAGGGATGCATATCTTAATTTGACTAGTATAGCAGATCTTTAAATTGTATCAGTTTTTATCCTGCCGACAACATCAGAGCTCTCACCGTTCCACATCTTCCTGAGTTTTTGCTTATAATTTATAATTTTTGGCAATCTGATGGATCTGAAATGATACCTGATTGTGGACTTAATTTGTGTTCTATGATTTCACCAGTGAGGTCAAGCCTCTTGTAAGTCCATTAGCCCTTTAGACTTCTGTGATTTACCAATGATTTGCTCTCAATCATTAGGCATTTTTCTGTTGGATTCTTTCACTTATTGACTCAAGGGAGCTCATTATAGCTAGTATCTCTGGCATATGTATGGCATTTTATGTTTTCATTCTATCTTTTGATATATAGGGTTTCAAGATGCATTTTTATTCAAGGTCTGTGTCTCCTTGATTCCAAAGAGTGCCATCATCATCAACAAGCATTGAATTTTCTCAATGAGTTAGTTGCATTAATTGATAGGATCATATGGCTTTTCTCCTCTAATCTGTTACTTTTGTGAGTATGATAATTTATTTTCTAATGTTAAACCATAGTTGCAGTCTCAGAAAAAGCTAAATTTTGATATTTTTGTTTTATAGTATATATAACATAGGTTTGATGCCCAAATATTAATTTGTCATGAAGATCATTATTGTGCCTCACTTAGATTGCTAGATAAGGGTTAGTTGCATAGAGCAGTTAACAAACAAATAGTCCATTGAGTAAATAGGAATCCTGACATTAGTAAGTAAAGTTTAGCTGTCACCCAAACTCTGATAGTATTATGATTATGATGGAGTGATGATGGAGATATTGCTAAGTGTGTCGGGATAGGCTGCTTACACATCAAACCTCCTCACATATAAAGTGAGTCATATGTTTTCCTGGTAAGTGTCCCTCTCCAGACATCTTCTTTTCTCATTACTATAACTGATACTGTACCAGCTCTGTTGATAATAATATTGTAAGATGGCTCTTCACCTTGACCGCTTGACTCTGTCTAGTTGGTAATAAAAACAGCTCAGTCTTTTCATACAATTATACACACACACAGAATATTATATATCTAATAATATATTAAAACATTTGATATATAATATATAGATGATATTTTTGATGTAATATATATTCTGTGTGACTTATAGTATATATTGATATATATTAGATGACTTGAATTATATAATAAGATTATATAATTTACATATAAATAATGCTATCACATAATTACATGATATATTGTAAAAATATATAATATGTATGATAAACACATTAAATACATAAAGTATATACAAATATAAAATGTAAATTAAATGTCTATATAAAATATAATTTTATACGTATATGTAAAATTTGATTTCTTATTAATTACACTATTTTTAGGATTTTTACATCTGTGTAAGTTACAGGGCTCTGTAATTCTCTATTCTTTGGAAGATTTGATATAAGATTGCCATTATCTATCCCTCAACTGGTAGAACTTCTTTAAAAATTGACAAGGTCCCTTGATGTTATGTGCATGTTTTATTATCTGTGTGTAAATTTTAAATTCCTTATTATATTTCTTTAGGTTAAGTCTGTTCACATTTTTCTTTTGAATGGGTTTTCCTAAGAACTGTTTTTCTAGAAAGTTATTCATTAGGTTGATTTTTTTCAATTTTATTTATAGCATAAAGTTTATCATAGATTATCTTAATTTTTAAATTTCTATATTCATTCAAATTTTGTCCTCTTTTTTCTCCTTCAATAAATCTTTTTAGAGCTGTGCCTATTATATTAGTCTTTTTGTGAAAGCTACTGTTGGCTTTTCTCTCTCCACTGAATTCTTATTTTCTTTCATTTCATTGGTTTATTGTTTAGACTTTATTTTCCTTTTTTTAAGAAAAAGTTTTGTTGGGTTTCTATGTTCTTTTACTTTTTTTTAAAGATTATTTATATATTTATTTATTTAGAAAGAATTGTAAGTGGGGGAGGGGCAGAAGGGGAGGGAGAGAGTATCTCAAGTGCTGAGACCTACATGGGGCTCCATCTCATGACCCTCAGATCATAACCTGAGCCTAAGCTGATTTGGGCATTCAGTGGACTGAGCCACCCAAGCACCCCATTCTCTGTTCTTTTCCTATTTTAAGCTAGTTAGCATCCTAATTTCCAGCTTTTTTCTTTTTCTAAAATAAGCACTTAAAGGTATAAATTTTCCCAAAAATTCCACCTTAGCTTCATTGTATAATTTTTTATATGTAGCATTTATTATTGTTCAAGTGTGTATATCATCATATTATGATTTAGAAACATTTACATTTCCTTATAATTAAAATATTTTTTACTGTTTTTTTTTAATTGGTTTCTAACCTAATTGTATTGAGGTCAGAGACTGTGGTTTATGCAGTATGGATTCATTGGAATTTGTTCAGATTTGCTTTCTGACTAGCCTTTACTCAATTAGTACATATTCCATATGTACTGGAAAATAGTGCCTATTCTCTATAAGTTGCTGAACTTTATATATATATTTGTTAGATTGGACTTGTTGGATTGTTCAGATCTTCCATATCTTCCCTTTTTTGCCTGCTTGATCTATTAATTATGGGAAAAAAGAATGTTAAAATATCTCATGGTGACTGTAGAGTTGTGAGTTTCTCCTTGTAATTCTGTAATTTTCACTTCATATATTTTGAGACTTACTGCATGCTTGTTTGGAATTAGGATATCTTCCCAGTGAATTATATATTTTTCTCTTTTAGGTAATCATTTTCATCCTTGATAATACTTTGACTTAATACCTTTTGATGCAATTATATAACTGTAACATCTATATAACTGTATTATCCATCCTTTAACTATCGGCCTTTCTATGTCTTTTTGTTATGTCACTTATAAGCAACATGAGGTAGAATTTTAAAAATCCAATTTGATATCTTCTCCTTCAAGTGGTATTGCCAACCCGTAAGCATTTTAATTTCTTAACTTGGGTTTTCCTGAATCATTAAGATAATATAAATTGAAGCTCCAAGCTTTTTTGAATCAGGCTCATAATAAGGACTGATTGGACAGCATTTAATAAAGGGGTTATCTACAAAGATGACGATTGGGGTTATTAATAAGGAAGAGTGAAGCAGCCAGGGCTAGGAGTAGGTAGGGAGCCTTATCACCTCCCTGGGGCCTCAGTAGCAGGTGGAGGGCACTAATAGTAGGAGAGGGTAGCCAAAGGCAGAGGAAGGCAGACCCTCCAAATGATAGCCAGTGGGGAGGGTCTTGGGATACTAAATACTCTGAACTCTGCTTCTTTTTGCCCTGTGGTTTCCTCTGGTCCTTCCCACTGCCTTTGGAGAGGATAGTAACCATGTCAGCTCTGGTTAGTTATGGGCCTTGGCTCCTCTGAATGACTAAGATGGTGATGATGAGGAGGATGATATTATTATTATTATTACCACTTATGGGGCACTTATTGGGCACTTACCATATTCCAGGAATTTTTCTGAGCACTGAGCATACATTAGCTCATTCAATTCCCCCACCATTCTTTGTGGCATATATGATAATTTCTACTTCAAACCGAGTCTTGGAGGATGACTTGCCTAAGCTCTTACTGGCTAGTCACAGAGGATGCTTGGGTTTGAGCACAGGCTGGTTTTATTTAAATTAAACTGTGCTCTTGCCAACAGCAACAAAGTGTGTCTTATTTACTTACTTACTTATTTATTTATTTACTTACTTACTTATTTTTTTTCAGTCAGTGTGACCCTGGACCAGCTCATCATGAGCTAATTCTGTCTGAGGATCGGAGACAAGTGACTCGTGGATACCTCCAGGACAATCTGAAAAATTCTTCTAAGAGATTTAGTGTCTTACCCTGTATCCTGGGCTGTGAAGGCTTCACCTCAGGAAGACATTATTTTGAAGTGAACGTGGCAGAAGGAACTGGGTGGGACTTAGGAGTCTGTTTGGATAGTGTTCAGAGGGACGTTGGTGTGATACAAAAGCCTCAGTCTGGATTCTGGGCCATTAGACTATGCAAAAAGAAAGGCTACGTAGCACTTACCTCTCCCCTAACTTCCCTCTTTCTGATGGAGCAGCCCCTGGTTGTGGGGATTTTTTTGGACTGTGATATTGGAGTTGTATCATTTTACAACATGACACCTGGATCCCACATATTTACCTTCCCAAAGACCTCCTTCTCGGATACTGTGCGGCCCTATTTCTGGGTTTATCAACATTCTCCTTTGTTTCTGCCTCCCCCAGACGAGTAAGGAAAGAAGTAAAATCTCTTTCTTGGCTTAACACCATAGAAAATATCATGAAAATCCTGTGAGGACAGAAATGTGGTCTGTCTTCCTCACTGCTCTTGTACTGGGCTTTTAGAGTGGCTACTTAATACATCTGCTTTGAGTGAATAGATAGAACAACTGTAAAAATGCTGCAGATTGTCAGCCTGAGCTGGGGAAAGCAAGATAATATCAACGATCATGCACTGTCATTTCCATCTCCCCTCAATGGGTTCAGAGCTTTGATTTCCAAGAGTCTTTGGGTAACCTGCAGGGTGACCCAGAGGTCAAGAGGTCTGAGTTCTCCCAGTTTGTTTGATGCCATATGAACTCATGGGTAGGGGGTGAGGAAAAGTTGTGATTGTCTCTGCCAACTGCAAGAAAGAGGAGGAAAACCAATGTAGTGACTCTTCTAACCACTGACATTTGCTTATTCATCTGAGCCATAACCCTGGATGATGCAATGAGTGCAGATGCCTGCCATACCTAGTGAGCTCCACCTGGGCAATAAATAGTAAAGTATGAAAGAAGGGTTAAAATTGCCTTATGGTGATATGCTTCAAATGGGAAGGAGATTAAGAGTAAAAACAAATTTTCTTAGGGGACTCAGTACTGGGAAAGAAGTTGATATTTTCCAGATTCTGTGTGCTAAACCAGCTATCTTGACATAGTTTAAGATCTCAGCACATAGTTACTGCTGGCATGATTTTGGCAGAATCACCTTCCCCATATATATGTTAGAGCTTGCATGTTTTTCTCAGTGTGGGTGCTTCCCCACGGCACTAAGAATTACTCTAATATGTGGTTTTAAGTTACTGTAGCAGTCTCATACTTTCATTTAGATTGTTTCTTGCAATTATAAGTAATGTTCAAGTGAACATCATTGTATGTAATTAGGTCTTCACCTCTCTTGTTTTCCCTAGCCTGAGTCATAGAATATGAACGTTTGTTTAAAAGACTGTTGATATATTCTTGCCCCCTTTTTCCCCTTCCCCCACTCCCTCTATCCCTTCTGTTCCTGTAGCTCTGGCTGTCATTGGCTAACCCCTCTAGGAGCTGGATCCTTGGTAGGCTTTGATAATGTGGTAACTATCAAAGTTTCATGGCAGCTGGAGGTTAGATGGGAGAATCATTCCCAGGAGATGGGGGTTGAGAATGTTGCTATTTGGAGGTGAAAACATCACTGGAATGGAGATCACCTCATTAATCCCCACTTGTGTTTCCTAATGTGAGAAAGGGAGGGGTACAGAATTTTAAAAATTAGGAGGCTGAAGAAGCAGGGAACAAGGAGCTGGATGCATCTGGGATTTTCCTCCAGAAGTAACACTTGCTTCTCCTGAAGGAATGACACAACTGTCACGGTTGTAAAAGACTAATTCAGGGCCATTCACTGAATGTGTATTAATTTCTGCATCAAACCACTCCAAAATTTTGTTGCTTAAAACTACTATCAGTTATACTCACAGTGCTGTAGGTCAGGGCTGTATGTGGCTGAACCCTGTTGTGCCTTCTCATGTGTCTGTAACAATTGGAGTCACTGGTGTTTGGTGATCAGGCCTGGCCTCACCCATAAGTCTGGGGGTTGGCAGGTGGTTTCTTGGGGTGCCCCCTTCTGCTAACAGGCAAGCTTACCTCTTTCACATGGTTGTTTCAGGGCTACAAGAGAACCAAAAGGGGAAGACGTTGCAAAGCACCTGGCTCTTTTCAAGCATCTGCTTAGGTGACATTTGCTAAATCACTTGGCCAAGTCTAGATCCAAGGGATAGAGAAATACATTCCACTTCTTGATGGGAAAAGCTGCAAAATCACAAAAGCAAAAGCATGCAGACAGAACAGGATGAAATAAAGTCAGGGCAATTTTTGCAATCTATCATTAGAAACTTATTGTTTAGGGGGATCCCTGGGTGGTTCAGCGGTTTAGCGCCTGCCTTTGGCCCAGGGCGCCATCCTGGAGTCCCGGGATCGAGTCCCACGTCGGGCTCCCGGCATGGAGCCTGCTTCTCCCTCTCCCTGTGTCTCTGCCTCTCTTTCTCTCTCTGTCTATCATAAATGAATAAATAAATCTTTTTTTTAAAAAAGAAACTTATTGTTTAAAGTCTCTACATCTAACTCAGGGAGGGATAGAGATTCAGAGACACCCTGAATGGCCTTGGCCCATAGCAGATTGTTCCAGTTTCTCCCCTAGAAACTCTTGGCAACATCAGTAACTCCACTCTTTGCCCACACAGACAGCCTCAGCCCCTGGAACTCTGTGAGAACTGATCTTCACACCCACCTCTCAGCCCTGCCCCTCACGCATCTATATGGATAAATGTTTCTGTGATTTGTTCCCCATAACTGACCACCTGGACCTGTATAGACAAGAAATGTTTGTGAGACTTGTGGTGTGTGAATACCCTTGGAAGCCTGGTTCTTTAAAATCCATCATCTTCCAGGTCAGAACTGGCTGTTCTGTTCTGAACACCAGGAGCTACAAATCTCACATTCCTTCCTGCTCCAGGCAGGGCTGACCCCCTGATGGAATCCAAGAGGGGAGGAAGACACACAGCCCAGTCTCCTTGAAAATGCAGAAACAGGTAACATGGAAAGTCAGCTTGCTCCAAACTGTGTGTAGGGGAACATGTGTTTAGATTCAGACCCCGTCATTTGCCCTGTGAATAGGGCCCTTCTGGAGATGGTTAGTTGGAAGTCTCACCCGAGGCAGGAGCTGCGTCCAGGCCTCTCCATCTGGCCACAAGCTGGCTATTCCCACCTGCATCCCCAGATGATGAGGTTGGATGTTCTAAGTATTTGATTTAATGTAACTTTGCCTTATTCTCATGTATTGCCTCCTGTTGCCTTAATCTGTTTCTATCAGGTTTCTGTAATAATAATAAAGTTTTCTTTCCTTTTTGAAACTGAAACATGGCTGTCATGAATCTTTTGTTCAGAACACATGCCCACCCATAACACCAGCCTGAAGTGGAGTCTATGCACTGGTTCTCTGGGACTCCCAGGGAAGGAAAAGTATTCCAAGCAGCTGGAATTGGAAATGCAGCAAACTCCTCTGACCTTCACTGGAATGTTCTTCTTCACCAGGAATAAGGAGGACAGAGATCATTATTCAGAAAGGCGTTTGGTTAGCATGTTAATGAGCATGTGGCCAAGAGCAGATGCTACACTCCTTGAGCTTATACTGAATTTCTCTGGAAAGGAAAAATGATGCAACCTGTCATCCAGTAGGAATCAGGTGTCTCATCACTCCAATGCAAAGGCAGGGTCTTCAGTCCAGAGCTCATCTCCTTCCCACCGGTCTTGCATCTCAGCCATCTGATCCTCTGGGTTTCTTCAATGCCTAATCTGAGGAGGGGACTGGGTTTTGTTTGTTTTATATCTTGGTGCCAATCCTAAGTGCCTGCTTGAGTTTGTTAGACACCTCCATCCATTAAAGTTATTAAGTGAAGTTTAAAAATTTTCACCTTTCTGTGGTACAAGCAGATCTATGTCTGATTTTTTTTTTAAGATTTGATTTATTCATGAGAGAGAGAGACAGAGACATAGGCAGAGGGAGAATCAGGCTCCCCCCCCCCGCCCCCCGCAGGGAGCCTGATGCGGAACTTGATCCCAGGACCCCAGGACCACCACCGGAGCCAAAAGCGGACTTCAACACTGAGCCACCCAGGCGCCCCTATGTCTGACTTCTCATTTTATTTACAAGTGGGTAAGTGACACTACCCTCCCGGGCCTGTTTCCGCAAGTGTAATACTGGGTCCATAATCCCAGACTCAGGTACAAAGCGTCAGGTATGTAACACAATAAATAGGCACCTATCCGCCGCAGCACCCCTCCCACGCCGGCGGCCTTCTGCGCAGACTCCACCGGTGGGGGCCGGAGGGGGGAGACCTCCCGGGGTGGGGAGACGGGATCCGGAGTCCGCGCCCACCAAGCAGCACCCGCCCCTCCGAGCCCAGATCCCGCACCCGAGGGCGTCGGGAGACTCGGGCCGCAGGAACCCCGCCCCCACGCGGGCCCCGCCCCCGCCAGCTGCCCACGCCGCGCAGGCGCCGTCCCCGGGCCTGTCTCCCCCGCGTCTCCGATTCACCGGCAGCCCCCTCCGTGCACACCTGGCGCCCTTGCACCGGCGTGGTCGCTCCTCGCCCGGCCAAAGCTGGCGTCCCCGGCCGGCTTGAGCGCGCTCAGGAGCCGGACTGCGGCTGCTCCCCGCGGAGGTTTTCCTCGTTTCCTTCTCAGAGCGAGAGCTCTAGCAGAGGAGCTGACCCTGCTGGGATCGTCAGGTAATGGAGATGGAGACCCTAGGCCTGAGTCGGGCCAAAAGGAAAGAGGTGAGTCTGAGTACAGAACCCCGACCCCTCCCAGCTTTGTACTTTTGGGGTGAAGCTCCTGGGGTTTCCTGAGAGGGGCTTTAAATGGAAAAATACAAAAAATAATGTGATGGAAACCAGCATCTCCAGCCCCTAGATGTTTGAAAGTTAACATTTGACCGTGTCTGCTCCAGATTGTGTTTAGAGAAATAAACGGTGACAAGCTGAAGGAAGGACTCACCGCCTAGCGAGTGTCAGCAGTGCCTTTGCAGGTGGGGTGGAAACTCCCAGCACCCGTTTTTATTAAAAATCTGAAAAGGTACTTTACGAAATATTAGCTGCAGTACATCATTTAAATGAATTTTTAAGGACAGGCAAAATAGCATCAAGTGCTGTGTTGTTGCACTGACCATTTATATCCAAGCTTTTGTCACTTGCCCCCCCCCCCCCCCACGGGGTATTGATTTTGTTCATCTTGGTAAATACATGCAGTGGAGTCCATTCCATTGAAAGATTAGGTCATAATGAATTCCTGTGTTAGTGAACATTTAGTTGGTGTATTTACACAGTGAGGATATTGGTGGGGAGTGGCAGGCTCTGACGCTGTGATATGTTTTGGTTTTGGGTTTTTTTTTTTTTTTTTTTAAGATTTTATTTATTTGAGAGAGAGAACCAGAGAGAGAG